CACTGATGGTCAGATATTTTCATACCTGCCTCTTAGAAGGGAGGGGGGGAAGTGTGGAATACAGCTGCAACAAGTGGTTGCTAGGGAGGATGAATAGATAGGGAAAACAGGCTGACTATAAATTAACTCGAGAGACAGATATTGTGTTTAAAATGATTTGGGCCAGGTCTGCCTGCATTCTTGATCTTCTTCTCAATAATACATTGAGATAACAAGGAGAGAAAAGGAAGTCAATTGCCCCCTTTGATGGGGTCAGTCCAATTTATGTAGATAGAGTGAAAGCCCCTTCCGGTGCTTTCTGATCTCTAAGGGCCTTTAATTCAAATTATTCTTTATATCAAAGAGTCATATTTTGGAGTGAAATTTCCTTAGCTCCTTCACAATAAAAACATAAAAAGTTGGCTGGGCATAGTGGCGCATAGGTTCGAGATCAGCCTCAGCCAGAGCAAGACCTTGTCTCTAAAAATAGCAGGACATTATGGCAGGCACCTGTAGTCCCAGCTACTCGGGAGGCTGAGGCAAGAGAATCTCTTGAGCTCAAGAGTTTGAGGTTGCTGTGAGCTATGAGGCTACAGCACTCAACTGAGGGTGACAAAGTGAGACTGTCTCAAAAAAAAAAAAAGTCACCTTACCAGCCCTACAGACGCTGCTCCCAAGGCTAGTCTAGTAAGGATTTTGTCTGCAGATATCATATCCCACTTCACTTCTTCAGCCCTGACCAGCAGTTGAATCTGGGCTCTGGAAGTTTTCACCTGAACGTCCTGCTTGCAAAGCCTATTCAAATTGTCTAAAACTAAATTTAAAATCTTTCTTCCAAACCAAAAAAATCAATTTACCCCTTGATTTTCCTTTCTATCAGTCACTTTAAGATCAAAACTTTCAGGGTCAAATTCTGTGTTTTCCTTTATTCCATATCAGTACCAAGTTCAATTTATTCTTCCTTCATAATATCTCTCTCGCTGGTCCTTGCCTGCTTCCAGTTCTCCCTGCTGATCTGTCCACTATACCGTTACCAAATATGCCCACTAATACACTACATATGATGTCATTTCTCTTCAGTAGCTCTATAACCTTCTGCTTCAGCAAGTAATACAGGACCATGCACAATCTTCAACCCACTCCCACTTTTTGGCCTACATCCTTCCAACCTTATCTGTTATCTGTCTCCTAAAATAGACTTTTTTTAGAGCAAATTATCCAATGGGCTATGCTTTGTACTTCCTCATCTTGGGGTGTTTTTTTTGAAACAGAGTGTCACTATGTTGCCCTCGGTAGAGTACTATGGCATCACAGTTCACAGGAACCTCAGACTCTTGGGCTTAAGTGACTCTCTTGCCTTAGCCTCCTGAGTAGCTGAGACTACAGCTATTTTTTAGTTGCAGTTGTCATTGTTGAGCAGGTCTGGGCCGGGCTTGAACTCACCAGCCTCGGTGTATGCAGCTGGCACCCTATTCACTGAGCTACAGGCGCCAAGCCCTCATCTCGATGTTTTAAGATTGTCTACCCACCAGAATGTCCTTACTCCAGTTTACTTATTCAAATCATTATTCAACAAATATTTATGTGTCAGGCACTGTGCTTTGTACTAGAGGCAGAATAAATGCAGGCATACCTCATTTCACTGTGCTTCACTTTACTACACTTCATAGATGTTGCGTTCTTTTTTTTTTAACCAATTGAAAGTCTGCGGCAACCATACACATAGCAAGTCCATCCACCCCATTATTCCAACAGCATATACTCACTTCTTGTCTCTGTGTCACATTTTGGTAATTCTTGCAATATTTCAAACTGTTTTGTTATTGTCATGTCTGTTATGATGACCTGTGATCAGTGATCTTTGATGCTACTACTGCAATTGTTTGGGGGCACCATGAACCATGTCCATATAAAATGGTGAGCTGAATCAGTAAATGTTGTATGTGTGCTGATTCTTCTACTGACTGACTGTTCCCCATCTCTTTCTTAGGTCTTAGACTCTGCTTAGGTCTCCCTATTCCTTGAATACACCAATATCGACATTAGGCCAATTAATAACCCTACGATGGCCTCTAAGTGTTCAAGTGAAAGGAAGAGTCACATGTCTCTCACTTTAACTGAAGAAGTGATGAAGTTTAGGGAGGAAGGCACGTTGAAAGCTGAGATGAGCTGAAAGCTAGGCCTTTTGCACCAATTAGCAAACTTGTGAATGCAAAGGAAAAGTTCTCTCCTGTAAACACATGAACGATAAGAAAATGAAACAACATTACTGATACAGAGAAAATTTCAGTGGTCTGGATAGAAGATCAAGCCAGCTACAGCATTCCCGTAAGCCAAAGCCTAATCTAGAGCAAGGCCCTAACTCTCTTCAAATCTAAGAAAGGTGAGGAAGCTGTAGAAGAAAACTTTGAAGTTAGCAGAGGTTGGATCATGTTTAAGGAAAGAAGCCGTCTCCATAACATAAAAGTGCATGTGATACAGAAAGTGCCAACAGAGAGGCTGCAGCAAGTTATCCAAAAGATTATCTAAGATCACTGATGAACATAACTACATTTAAAAACAGATTGTCAATGTAAATGAAACAGCCTTCTATTAGAAAGACATACTGTCTAGGACTTTCATAGTTAGAGAGAAAAAGTCAATACCTAGTTTCAAAGCTTCAAAGAACATGCTGATTTTCTTATTAGGGACTAATGCAGTTGGTGACTCTAAGTTAGAGCCGATGCTCATTTATCATTCAGAAAATCATAGGCCCTTATGAATTATGCCAAATGTACTCTGTACTCTAGAAATGAAACAACAAAGTTTGGATGACAGCAGATTTGTTTACGGCATGGTTTACTGAATAATTTAAGCCTATTGTTGAGACCCGCTGCTCAGGAAAAAGAATCCTTTCAAAATATTACTGCTCACTGACAATGCACCTGGTCACCTAAGAGCTCTGTTGGAGATATGCAAGGAGGTTAACATCATTTTCGTGCCTCCTAAACTAAGATCCATTCTGCAGCCCATGGATCGAGAAGTCATTTCAACTTTCAAGTCTTCTTATTTAAGAAATATATATTGTAAGGCTACAGCTGCCATAGGTAGGACTTCCTCTGATGGATCTGGGCAGAATCAATTAAAAACCTTTTGGAAAGAATGCCATTAAGAACACTTGTGATTCATGAGAAGAAGTCAAAATATCATCATTAACTGAAGTATAGGAAAAGTTGATTCCAGCCCTCATGGATGACTTTGAGGGATTTAAGACTTCAGTGGAGGACATAACTGTAGATGTGGAAACAGCAAGAGAACTAGAATTAGAAGTGGAGCCTGAAGATGTGATTGAATTGCTATAATCTCTCATGATAAAATTTGAATGGATGAGCAATTGCTTGTTATGGATGACCAAAGAAAGTGGTTTCCTGAGATGAAATCTACTCCTAGTGAAGATGCTGTGAACACTGTTAAAATGACAACAAAGGATTTGGAGTGTTACAGAAACTTAGTAGATAAAATAGCAGCAGGATTTGAGAGGACAGACTCCAATTTTGATAGAAGTTCTCTTGTGGGTAAAATGTTATCAAATAGCATCGCATGCTACAGAGAAATTGTTTGTGAAACAAAGAGTCAGTTGATGTGACTAACTTCCCTGAAATTACCATAGCTACCCCAGCCTTCAGCAACTACTATCCCAATCAGTCAGTAATCATGCATACTGTCAGTAGTCATCAATACTGAGGCAAGACTCTTTGCCAGCAAAAAGATTATGACTTGCTGAAGGATCAGATGATTATTGTTTTTAGCAATAAAGCATTTTTTTTTTTTTTGCAGTTTTTGGCCAGGGCTGGGTCTGAACCTGCCACCTGGCATATGGGGCTGGCACCTTACTTCTTGAACCTCCAATAAAGCATTTTTAAATTAAGGCTTGTACATTGTTCTCTTAGACACGATGGTATTACTCATTTAATAGACTACAGTATAGTGTAAACATAACCTTTATATGCACCAAGAGACAAAAGAATTCAGGACTCCTGCACTGCAATATTGGCTTTACTGTGGTGGTCTGAAACCAAACCCAAAATATTTCCAATAGGGAATATGTGATCCTAATTTCAATTTTCCCCCACTTTAAGAAATCTTCCTGAGGCCAGGCATAATGGCTTACATAAGTAATCTCAGCATTTTGGGAGGCTGAAGTAGGAGGATCGCTTGAGGCTATGAGTTCAATACTAGCCTGGGTAACATTTTTTTGTCTCTACAAAAAATTAAAAAATTAGCCAGGTGTGGTGGTGCATGCCTGTGGTCCCAGCTACTCAGGAGGCTGAGGTGGGAGGACCACTTGAGCCCAGGAGTTCCAAGCTGCAGTGAGCTGTGATTGTAGCATTGGGCAACACAGTAGGACTTTGTCTCTAAAAATGAAAAAACAAGAAAAAAAAAAAAGAAAATCTTCCTGAGTTTCCCCACATAGAAATGGTTTCACATTATTGAGTAGTTCTCATAAGGCATATAGTCTACGACACTCCCTGGACCCTCACAAACTGCTGCCTTACATGGCTAATTATCAACTTTTCCTATAAATAGCTATCTTCCCAAATAGTGTGGATTTCCTAAAAGTGTGGATGAGAGTCATACCAAAGTTTCTTTCTGGTATTCAGTAAATACCAGGTATTGGATACACATTTGCTGATTGACAAGTATTTGTAAATAAGGAAGGGCCTGTAAAATAGGAGGAGGGCCCTATCTAGAAAATGGCCCCTATATCTACCTGGTGATAGGGTAGCAAATCAGGTGAGCAGGGCCTGCAAGAACTCCAAAGCACTAAAAGCTCCTGGAAAGTTTCAATTTTCCAATTTTGTTTGTAAAGAAGTTTAGAATTGTCAACACTTAAGTCAGGATTGGTTACCCTGGCTTTTGGAAATCTACAACATGAATTATGTCATCAGCTTTGAAAATCCTTTGTTGGTACTAAATGAAAACAATACCATTGGTGATATTCAACAGGCATTTATAACATCAGACCTAAAAAGAAAACTCACCACATGTTGTATTCAAAAACTTTGTCGAGGTCAGTTAAAATCCTTGATCCAAGAGGGACTGCTGGGCGGTACCCACTTTGGCATCTGTGTGGCACCTTTCTTAGCCTTAGACAGGAAGTGGAATTTCTCCAAATCATATTCATCCTAAACAGTACCTGAAAAGTTATAAACAATTAATTACTCATTATGGATTAGATGGTATATTATTTATTTGAGAGGCAAAATCTGGTCCTTAAGATTTACAACCTGAAAAATGGCATGAAAACTGAAAACTATTAAAGGGCTGCAGCATTAGGAAGGTTGAGAACCACTGGCTGAAGCCCAAGAATTTGAGGTTGCTGTGAGCTGTGACGCTATGG